ATTCTGTACTCTGTTCTGTATGTTAGGCCCCGAGATTGCTTATTTACCTAGTATAGATTAGATTAGGTCTATGGGCTATTCTTTCACTCTTACGCCGTTTAGAATTCCCATGGTACATAACTTCAACATTTTAGAGGGTATATGGTGTACATATATATGTACATGTATATGGTAATCGATATGGTGTACATTCCACCCATAAAAGCGGTAGGTTCTGTCATTTGCGTCAAACTATAGTCAAACTTGCGTTAACTATAGGCCAATTAGCCTAACGTCTATTGTGGGAAAGTTACTTGAATCGATAATTGTAAATACCATTCGTCTTCATCTTGAAAAACATAAATTAATTAATGATTTACAACATGTTCGTTCATGATTAACGAATTTGCTATCATTTTACTCAAGTATAGTTGAGGCAGTTGATAGTGGTAAGGTTTGTGATGCTGTGTATCTTGACTTAACAAAGCTTTTGATACAGTACCACATGAAAGGCTGATTAAAAAGATAAATCTCATGGTATTGGGGGTGCTATATTAAGTTGGATTGGGGCATGGCTATACCAAAGGAAACCGAGTTATTATAAATGGAGTTAAGTCAGACTGGGAAAATGTTTTAAGTGGAGTGCCTCAAGGTTGTCTTGGGACCTCTGTTATTCATATCTTGAGATGATTTCGGGGCTTTAGTGTCCCCGCGGTCCGGTCCTCGACCAGGCCTCCAACCCCAGGAAGCAGCCCGTGACAGCTGACTAACACCCAGGTACCTATTTTACTGCTAGGTAACAGGGGCATAGGGTGAAAGAAACTCTGCCCATTGTTTCTCGCCGGCGCCTGGGATCGAACCCAGGACCACAGGATCACAAGTCCAGCGTGCTGTCCGCTCGGCCGGTCGAGCGGCATAATATATATAAATGATTTAGATTCAGGTTTGAGCATCAATATTTGCAAATTTGCCAATGATACAAAAATCGGGAGGGAAATAGGCACGGAAAGGGACTCTCTCTCACTTCAAGACGATCTAAATAGTTTTGAAATGGTCAAAAGATTGGCAGATGCAGTTTAATGCTGACAAATGTAAGGTTTTGAGCCAAGGTAATGATGATAAAGTTACAAGATACGAGCTAGATGGTGTTGAGATTGTGAAGTCGAATTGCGAAAGGGATCTGGGAGTTATGATTAGTAAGAATTTAAAACCAAAAAATCAATACATAAATGTTCGTAATAAGGCAAATATGACACTTCTTTTCCCTGCCTCATGCACACTGACCTACCACCACAAGCTGCTGTGGATAGTCAGATTATTATTATATTATTAATATATTATTATCTGAAGCTCTACAAATTTCTATAATTCTTGGCATGATTAGTTTGTTAATTATCTTTCAAATTATGTTCTTGTCATTCTAATTTTATGCGCTATGTTTCTTCATTGTAAGTCACACTGCTCTCATTGTAAGCTGTAAGTCACACTGCTCTCATTGTAAGCTGTAAGTCACACTGCTCTCATTGTAAGCTGTAAGTCACACTGCTCTCATTGTAAGCTGTAAATCACACCACTCTCATTGTAAGCTGTAAATCACACCACTCTCATTGTAAGCTGTAAGTCACACCACTCATTGTAAGCTGTAAGTCACACCACTCATTGTAAGCTGTAAATCACACCACTCTCATTGTAAGCTGTAAGTCACACCACTCTTATTGTAAGCTGTAAATTACACCACTCTCATTGTAAGCTGTCACACCACTCTCATTGTAAGCTGTAAGTCACACCACTTTCATTGTAAGCTGTCACACCACTCTCATTCTAAGCTGTCACACCACTCTCATTGTAAGCTGTAAGCTTACAATGAGAGCGGCTATAGAAAATACAAGACTATACGGCTGTGGACCTCTTCACTCCAGCCATAACTGTGATGATTTGTATATATCACTTTCGAAAAAAACTTTTTAATTTTAAATCTGAAGTCGTAATAATAGCAGTAATATTATTACTCTCAGTACAGTATTAATAGTAGCAGTAGTATTAATAGTTATACAAGTAGTAATTATAATATAATTGAACCAGTAGCCTAGTAGTTGTATCAATAATATTAAATCTAGTAACAGCGTAGCAGAGCTATTAACACTAGAAATCGTAGTAGCATTAATAGTCTACAAACACTACTAGTAGTAGTGATAGCCTGACAACAATAGTGGCTAAAGCCGGTGTTAATACCTGTACATATGTATTATTGTTCCATATCTGAAGGGAAACACCATCAACACTCACTTCCCCACTCTTGCAGTGGTCACCCTATGTGATGAGTTATCCACCAAAGCCTACTGGTTCCATGGTCGAACTCTTCAACGTTATCCAAAAGAAACTCGGATTCTGGTGAGTTTCTGTGTTTGATATGTGTTTATCCATAAAACTTTGTGGTTGATCTTTGTGTAAATTAGGTCTGATGCTTTTGTTGACCATTAATGCTGTGTACTAATTCCTTGCAGTACTAAGTCATAATGTACTAAGTCATAATACGTTGAGCTAGCAACTTGTTAATTTTGTTTTTTTCTTATTATTCTTTTTTTAATAACAATGATTGTGCTATATACTTTTTATATATTATTTGTGTTAAACATCTGTTAACTCTGTGTATTATGCCTACGTCTTAACTTCTAAATCTGCATGCAGTGTTCTTCTTCGTACCTCACACTTAAGAATAAACAAAACTACAGAAAGCTAATTAAATAAGCTCCATGACTCACCAATTCCCGGCAACTCTCGTGATGCAATTTGGGCACATTGGGCACAGTTTGTCATAAAATCCTGATGCATGCTCGGGCCGTGCTGTGCCTACAAATGTGAGGGAAAGCTAGAACGATCCTCATGCCATAAATCATTTAAGAACTCCATGACCCGACCAGGGTTCGAACTTGCATTACCAGGGCTCACTCCCTGGCATACACATTACTATAACCACTGCACTAGTGATTGCCTAAATAATTGGTTATTCACGGAGCTTATTAACTAAGCTCCATGACTAACCTATTTTCGGCAATACCGAACCGGTGTATTTGCGGCTGTGTTGGCAGACCAAACGACATTCATGGCCTCATCTGTTGTAAGTCAGAAGGAAAGATTGCTAGACATAAAGCAGTCAAAGATATCATCAAGATAAGTTTGGCTACAGCTGGATGTCTAGCTTAAAGGGAACCTCAAATGTGTAGCCCTGACAAGTCTCAAATGCCCAGACGGAGTTACTCTGCAGCTATGGAGGAATGGTAAGCAGGTTGTGTGGACTACACGTGTGAATCTACACTAGCTAATACCTATCTAACTTACAGTAGAGCTGAGGGTGGTGGGCTGCCACCTTCAAGGAGACCGAGAAAACTAGTAAGTACAGGGACCGAGAACATTTTTACATGTTCATGCCAATAAGCTCTGAGACCCTGGGCACTTGGGTAAGTGTACACTGTAGTTCTTAAAGGATGTGGGTGAAGAACTCATTATGCAAGCTACAGCTGCAAGAGTGGCCAGTTTCCTGTTCCAATGCCTCAGTGTTGCGATCCAGAGAGGAAATACTTGCAGTATCTTGTATATATATATATATATATATATATATATATATATATATATATATATATATATATATATATATATATATATATATATATATATATATATATATATATATATATATATATATATATATATATATATATATATATATATATATATATATATATATATATATATATATATATATATATATATAGGAGTCGGTCAGTGGGACATTCTTGCCAACTCTCACCCTCGACCAACTTTTCTTTCCAAACAACGGTAAACAGGCCAAATGGGATAGCCCATAGAATGTCGCCACAGCATTGCTGGAGGCAGCTTCCAGGAAGGACAGAGCGCATCTTCTGGCTGTACAAGCCCCCATGCCGGGGACTTAATTCTTGTTGGTTGTTCATAATTTCGCCTTGGGCACCCGCCTGGACCATCGGGCCCTAAGTATTGGTGTTGCCCTGCGCCTTGCCGCCCCTATTACCACCGAGCACCGGTGTATTTGCGGCCATGCACGGGCAGACCAATACGGCAGCCATGGTCTCATCTGTCGTAAGACACAGGGAAAGATTGCCAGACATGAAGCAGTTAATAACATCATCAAAAGAAGTTTGGCTACAGCTGGGTGCCCAGCACAAAGAAAACCTCAGTTGTGCAGGCCTGACAACAGTCAAAAACGCCCAGATGGAGTTACCCTGCAGCCATGGAGTGAAGGAAACAGATCGTATGGGATTACACGTGTTCGTCTACATTGGCTGATACATATCTACCTTACAGCACAGCTGAGGGAGGCGGGGCGGCCACCTTCAGGGAGACTCAGAAATCAACAAGTACAGAGACCTAGAACGTTGTTACAGGTTCGTGCCAATAGGCTCTGAGACTCTGGGCGCCTGGGGTAAATGTGCACTTGAGTTCCTAAAGGAGGTGGGTGAGGACCTCATTGGGAAAACTAATGAGGTAAACTAAAAAGACTCACGAGTGGCCAGTTTCCTGTTCCAGCGCCTCAGTGTCGCGGTCCAGAGGGGAAATGCGTGCGCACTTGGGTACACACCCGACCTCCTGAGAGCTGGACGAGGTCTTCAAACACTGATTGTTATATATGTGTGTGTGTGTTCTCTGTAAAATGTAGCAATGCAATGCAATAAAATAAAATTAATAAAAAAAATAGGGATGATTGGAGAAGAAAAGATTAAAGTGTTCAGTGAGAATCCAAAAAGGACTTATCTGAATACTCTTTATTTTCTTCTTCGAGACTGTGGGTCCCTTCAATTGCACCAGAGGTCATACCTCTATTATATGCATAATATATAATTTACGTTAACCTTTATATTTTACGAGACAAATATGTTTTTTTCATTATATAATATATGGCTCTGATTACTTGAAGTTACACGTGGGTGATTCCCCCCGACCTAGTATGGGGGGCGCCGTACCCTAATGGCTCCTGGTCTGGCATGATGGGCATGTTGCAGCGGAAGGTCAGTGCTATGTCATGTTCTCAAGTTTATATACATACATACATATACATATATGTGTATATATTATATATATATATATATATATATATATATATATATATATATGTCGTACCTAGTAGCCAGAACTCACTTTTTGGCCTACTATTCAAAGCCCGATTTGCCTAATAAGCCAAGTTTTCCTGAATTAATATATTTTTTCTAATTTTTTTCTTATGAAATGATAAAGCTACCCATTTCATTATGTATGAGGTCAATTTTTTTATTGGAGTTAAAATTAACGTAGATATATGACCGAACCTAACCAACCCTACCTAACCTAACCTAACCTATCTTTATAGGTTAGGTTTGGTTAGGTAGCCGAAAAAGTTAGGTTAGGTTAGGTTAGGTAGGTTAGGTAGTCGAAAAACAATTAATTCATGAAAACTTGGCTTATTAGGCAAATCGGGCCTTGAATAGTAGGCTGAGAAGTGCGTTCTGGCTATTAGGTACGACATATATATATATATATATATATATATATATATATATATATATATATATATATATATATATATATTAAATTAATTATTAATGTGCAACATACAGAATATCTAAATACAGGATTCGTTTTGGGTCCTGTAGCACAGTGGACTAAGTCCTCGGCTAACATTCGAGAGACCCGGGTTCAATCCGCGGGCAAGACAGAAACGGTTGGGCAAATTTCCTTTCAGCTGATGCCGGTATTCCACTAGCAAGTAAAATAGGGACCCAAGAGTTAGGCAATTGTTGTGGGTTGCATCCAGTAGGTGAATGACATAGGGGGTGGGGCGTAACTTCAGTAATTTTAAATACAAGCTTTCCTGTCCCCGACAAAGGGAATAATTATTATATAGATAAACAATGTTTCAGTTTGTTTTAGATTTTTCTCCTGCGTTGTGTCGTATATTCTGACAATTACATTTTACCAATTTTACTGTTATCTCAATATCTGTTTACATTACTCTTTGCACTTTGTCTTACTTGGCACCGTTGTCCTCACGGCTACAGGAGGTGGACATAGTGTTGGGGCCCATGGCCATCTCCCTGGAGCGGTACTCCGTGGCGGAGTTTAGCGTGCCCATCCTCTTCACCGAGCACACCATCTCCTACTCTCGCCCTGTCATCGCCCCTGACCTGCTGGGGTTCGTCAAGCCCTTCGTCGTCACCGTCAGTACTCACATTTATTATATTGTAATATAGTATTTATTGTAGCGTGTTGCGTTCTTCCAGAGGTCTGCCCTCCCCCTCCCTGTCTTTATGTAATCCGACTCCGTCCATCACTCATGTAAATAATAGGTATTTTGCTATTATTTTTTAAGTTTCGAACTGAGTTTACTGTAACAAATAAATTAAGGGAGAATATGTCGCATTCACCGTTTTCTAATTTCAAATCACAAGAGAGAGTTTTGAGGAGTGTGAGACAAAGTAAATAAAGGATGTGTGGGAAGGAGAGTGAAAGATATGAGGCGGGGGGGGGGGGGGAGGGAGATGTTAAGAATACAAGAAACTAGCTATAAAACATAGGGTTGCAAATTTACTGAGGTACATTATAATCCATAAAACTGAAATGGCTTATGTTGATTTGGAGATGTTTATTTAGTTTATGTGCTTCTGTGCTTCAGTAATTCTTAGTGGAAATTCAAGTTAGAAAATTAGCTGTTACTTGTTTATAAGATGTTATGTTGCCATCGTGGACATTCCGCCTCGTCTCCTTCAGTTATTTTACGCTTAAAGCTCTAGGACTTCAACAAGTGGCAGCAGTGAGTGTAGCGTTTTCGTCAAGTGGTAGTGACCACTTGTGTCCAAAGAGCATGCCGGAAAACCATTAGTTTACAGTTGGAATGTAGTGTTGAAACTTTCGTTATGCTTCAGAATAATAATAATAATAATTTATTTACAAGAAGGTACAATGGGTTGGTGAGATTTCATTAGTGATATTTTTACATTCTTGTAAAGCCACTAACACCATAACGTTTCGGGCAGGTCCTTAATCTAACATATCAGTTGAGATGAAAAAGTAAATTGTAGCAAGGTTTGTATATCAATATAAGTTGATACTGGTGATTACACTGGTAAAGATTAATTACTTAATTAGTCTTAAGTACTAATATTGGGGAAGTGAGTAGTACAAGATACAAGTAGTGTAAAGTACGCCTAGACCCGCACACAACACCTGAGCAGGTGAGCTCATTACGCCCTCCTGCTCAGGTGGTGCACAGGTGTCTAGTCGTACAGTGTTCTGGGGGATTCCCCAGGTGTGTGGCGCGTGCCAGGGCGCGGCACTTGACAGAGGGTAGAATTATGTTGGAGTGGGGGGAGCGGTATGTGGGGTCATGTAGGGTAAGTAAAGGAAGAGGAGTAATGAGCAGGTGAACAGGTGAGGAATAGTAGTAGATGAATATGTATGAGTATGTGCCATAGAGTTAATCCTGTGTGAGGATAGATGGGCAGCACAAAACGTCGACCAGACTGTGCGACACAGTGGTTGCAAGGATCAGGTTGGGTTACCGTTACCTGTGGCAGGTGACGGGTCTCCCAATCCTGAGCACTCCAGTTGCAAACTCTGTGAGCATGAACTACGGCACGATCTCCCACACTACATCACTGAATGCCCAGTTATTAGACCTTTCAGACCAGTTGGCATGAGGTACCTGGAGCTTTGCAATTACTTTATTCACTCTCGTATTCTTGAAGATATCCTCACAGTATACCCAAAATTTGCCAGTGCTATTAAACACATGGCTCTGTATGACTAACCATCCTGCGAGATGGGGACTTGTATTACCACTGCTATTTTATTCAATCTTGTGTTGTTGATATCCTCAAAATGCATCTGGAGTCTGCCAGTGCAGACTGCTTATCACATGCCTCTGTATGACTAACCATCCTGTGTGATGGGGATTTTTTCTTTAGCATCACCTAGTTAGCTTTTTTGACACACTGTATTCCACTTCATATAGTCTAGGGTAGCTGCACTAATGCAGATGTACCTCATATCTTAATAAAAAAAAAATTGATAGATAGCATCTATCATCTTGGAAGATCGATAACATCTATTTGCTGTGTTGCAGGTGTGGGGATTATTGGCCCTGTCACTGGTAACATCTATTTGCTGTGTTGCAGGTGTGGGGGTTATTGGCCCTGTCACTGGTAACATCTATTTGCTGTGTTGCAGGTGTGGGGATTATTGGCCCTGTCACTGGTGTTGGTAACATCCGTCGTCGTCCTCCTACGCTTCCTCGACCAACGCATGCAAGTTACATTGACCCATAGTTGTCTGTACAAACACAACATCCGTCCACAATTGTCTGCACCATGTACAGTGTACATTTGTAATGTAATGGACACACACTACTTTCAAACAGCATCGTTTGGATCCATTGATCTGTTACTATTTCATTTTCCCATTACCAAGTCGACATTTTTTTTCACACAAACATTGATTTTTGTTTTTGACTTCGGATTCCTAGTAATAATGATTGCCAAATAATTTTTATGCCCGAACTAATCAATATATATATATATATATATATATATATATATATATATATATATATATATATATATATATATATATATATATATATATATATATATATATTTCCAGTGAGTATGGAGTCCATAATTAAAGAAGCAATAAACAAAGAAATGTCGTTCATCAGATAAATTTGTTATCGTCCATAGGCCGTCGTTTAGTCCTAACCAGCCAACTTCCATCTGCTCCACGCCAAGCCGCCCAGTGCCGGTCGACCACGGCTCATGGATGTGGGGATTAATGATACTATTGGGACAAGGTTATCTGTACTCACCTATCTGTATTCACTTATTTGTGCTTGTGGGGGTTGAGCTCTGGCTCTTTGGTCCCGCCTCTCAACTGTCAGTTAGTTTAGTTCATTTATTATGCACCAAAACTAACTGACAGTTGAGAGGCGACTGTCAATCAACTGGTATACAGATTCCTGAGCCTACTGGGCTCTATCATATCTACATTTGAAACTGTGTATGGAGTCAGCCTCCACATCACTTCCTAATGCATTCCATCCGTTAACTACTCTGACACTGAAAAAGTTCTTTCTAACGTCCCTGTGGCTCATGTGGGTACTCAGTTTCCACCTGTGCCCCCTTGTTCGCGTTCCACCCATGTTAAACAGTTTATTCTGACCAACCCTGACAATTCCTCTGAGAATTTTGTAGGTGGTGATCATGTCTCCCCTTACTCTTCTGTCTTCCAGTGTCGTAAGGTGCATTTCCTAATGAACCCTAGTTCCAGTCTAAGAGAGGGGACGGGAGAGATTATTATTATTAACATCTTTAGGCAATATTGTAATTAATTTTTATCAATAATCTGAGGAATTCGGGGAGAGAGGAGAGAGAAAGGCAGGGAACTACCAGAAGGAAATGTCAAGCCATTACGTCTATATAGCCCTTGGAAGGGGTCAGGATACGGATTTGGGATAGGACGGAATGGTGCCCAACCACTTGGAGGAAGGAAGAGAGAGAATGAGAGAGAGAGAGAGAGAGAGAGAGAGAGAGAGAGAGAGAGAGAGAGAGAGAGAGAGAGAGAGAGAGAGAGAGAGAGAGAGAGAGAGAGAGAGAATGACAGAGAGGGAATGAGAGAGAATGAGAATATAACGCCAATAATTAACACCCCCCCCCCCCCCCCCCCCACCCCCACGGCGCCTGGCGCAGCACTGAGTGGACGGGATCTGAGGAAGACAGGAGCCGGAGGGCGCGTGTTCATCACCCTGTGGCTGCTGGTGGCCTTCATCCTGGGAACAATATACAGGGTGAACCTCACAGCCATGCTCGTCGTTCCTAAGGTAAGGTATAACGAGGCTGTACAGGAAATACAACATTATTTTGTGTAGGACTACATTAATTACCACCTCAATTATTATTATTATTATTATTACCATCTGGTTATAATTATTGCTTGGAATAGGAAGCCGGTTCTTAGGTTTCTACATAGCTGTAAACTTTCATGATTCTAACGTAGCTACTGTCCAAAGGCACATTTATCTTACCAGTTTTCCAAAGGCACTCACTTTAAAGGCCTCACCCAAAGGCACAGTTGTCTCGTTCAACCAGTTTCTATATACCCGTTGTTGGGAGGCTTGCATGTTTTGATTCTGATTGTTGCCGCCGGAGGTGGCTAGTTTATTGTGCACCCCATACTCATCCTGTGAGCGGTAGCACAAAAAGCATTAAAGAGGGGCACAAAAGGTCTTTATCAGACCTCAAAGGAGATTATTACATTAACAATTTCATCTATCCTTCACACCTTATAACTACAGTGTCGGCTAGTTACAGAGAATGTTCTATTTCAAGAGCTACATATTATATCATTAAATCTTTATACATTAATGGTAAGTCTTATCGCTAATACACAATTATTTGAGCAACGGAGATATTAGTCATAGGGGAGCTGCTGTTTATTAGTCTTCAAAATACACTACTTGTTTCTTAATCTCATATGTCGTTTATCTCCTGGAAGCGAAATATGGATTCAGTGCAAGGATTTCAGGTATTTTATCCTTAGTAATTAGACGGGTTGCGATTTCATACAACGTGAGTTTAGATTTCTCTCTAAATGGCTCAATTTTATTACAGTCCAAGATATAGTGTTCGAGTGTGTGTGTCCCTGTCTTTGTCCACACACTTTGTACTTTACTTCATCTAGATCTCTATACAAACCGAACTGTCAGAGATACTTGTAGCCCAGTCTTATTCGAGCTGTAACAACGTCTGTTAGTCTGTTGATTTTGTTACTTGCCCCATATGCATGTTTTACTCGACACATTTCATTGTGATGAACAATGGACCTGCTAGTTCCAGTTTGCACTGTTCTGCTTCTTCAGATTCATCCAAGACTTCTCGTCTAATGACACTTTTAAGGGACCTATTTGATAACTCAAGATTCCGTTCAACACTGTCTCTATTTACTGCAACCTTAGCAAGAACGTCAACTCCTGCAGGCCAATGTGAGAAGGAATCCACAACATTTTGATATTTACCTCCTTATTAAGTGTAGTACTGAGTCCCATGGTTGACCTTCACAACAGTTGCCTAACTCCCAGGTACATACTTCTGCTGGGTGAACTGAGGCATGAGATGAAAGGAAACGTGACACACTATTTCAAATGAGCTCCAAGTATCCCAAACAAACGAAAATGACCCCCTGGCAAAAATCCCAAATCTCTGTACCTATCTCTTACATTCGTCCTATGTTAACACCAATGCTCCCACTTAAAACTAAATCAAGTAATCTTCCAGAGATACCAACCCTAATTTATAAATGAGCTCCAAGGGTTTCAGCTCCTGCTATAGCATTGCTCTACAACAAATCACTTGATCTCCAAGCCTTCCCAGATAATCTTAAAAATGCTTGAGTCCTGTACATAAAAGTGTTGAACTCACCGAGTTCAAAAATTTTAGACCAATCTTGATCTAAAATCTAAAGAAATCTAGATCTTGCCCACCTTGTCCAAAATATTTGAAAACTAATGTACAGACCGCTTTGCTTCTAACTAGCTAAACATAATAAAGTATGCTTAGCTCTTAATTGCCAATATGGCTTCAGGCCCATAAAAATACCAACGACTCTTTAATTAATATGCTTGAATTGATACGCGCAGCTCTTGACAAGAAAGAGCATCCCAAAGGTCCATTTACTGAGTAAGACTTTTGACACCGATAATTACAATAACCTTGTCAAACTCCAAAACTATGGCGTCGGGGATCGGGGGGGAGGGGGGGGGGAGTCACTCCCTTCAATACTTGCAATCTTACCTCAGAGACAGGCGCCAGTATGTTTCTGTGAACGATGCAACGTCTCCCACACCGTTAACTGGCGGCCCACAGGGCAGTATACTGGGTCCACTCCTCTTTCTCATTTACATCAATGAGCTTCTAAATGCTACTCAACACCTGAAGCTAATTCTATTTGCTGATGACATAATCTTCATTTTCTCAAATGCTATCTTGAGATGATTTCGGGGCCTAGTGTCCCCGAGGCCCGGTCCTCGACCAGGCCTCCACCCCCAGGAAGCAGCCCGTAGCAGCTCTGGTGCCTTTCGTTCGACTCCCGCCCTCAGCTTGTATGTTGACACTGGCTTCCTCTCTCTTCAGGACCGCCGTGATCGCTACTGTCTTCGCTATCTTGCGTGGTCCTTACAACATCCTTACTCTCGCCTCTGTCGTGCTTTGACATTTACCTCTCCTGTAGTTCCTGTTCCTCTTCACCACCTCCCTCTTTCTGTCCGGTTATCTCGCTTACAGGATTCTCTTTCGATTTGTATTACCGAATTTTCTCCTCGTATTGTTCCGTCCTTTCCCCCTGTGGAAGGTCCCCCTTCCTAAATTTTGTACATCCCTGAGCCATATCAATAAAGCTTTTACCCATCCTACGGGTCTGAAACGCCTTTTCTTTGAACACTTTTCTTCACACTCCCACCCCATTTCCATCTTCTCCGATGGGGTCTAAGTCTGCGGACGGTGTAGGCTACTCTGTTGTTTTTCCTGACCTCACATATGTGTCGCCTCCCTTTGGAGACTAGCGTCTTCACAGCGGAACTTTATGCTATTCTCTATGCTCTTCGTCTCTTTCTAGTTGTCAAATCTTCCTTTGTGGTTGTCGTTGACTCTCGTAGTGCTTTCATGGCTCTCAGGTCCTTTAATCCGGTCCATCCAATGGTCGTCGAGATTCAACATTGGCTGTTTCTTATTTCCAGTAAATTGAAGTCAGTTGAGTTTTGCTGGGTTCCCAGCCATATTGGTGTCTCTTTAAATGAGTGTGCGGACGCTGCTAGGGAAGCTGTCCGCTCTTGTCCCATCTCCCGTAAAGATATTCCTTATACCGACTTTTACCCAGTTATTCATTCCTCCATCATTATCCGTTGGCAGGATTGTTGGTCTTCTGTTACTGGTAACAAACTGCGTACTCTTAAGAGTAGTGTGTCCTCATGGCCTTCCTCCTACCACCATAACCAGCGATGGGAAACGGCTCTGGCGAGGTTGCGTATTGGACATACACGCTTAACTCGCGGTCACTTAATGGAGCGCCGCCCTGCTCCTTATTGTCAAAACTGCATTGTTCCTCTTACAGTCGCGTACATCCTTGTTGAATGTCCTGACCTCCAGGACGAGCGTGTGTCTTTCTTTCCGACCGTCCCTCGCAATCACTTGTCCCTCGATAGAATTCTTGGTGAATCGGATACTTTTGATATCGTTCACCTTATGCGCTTCTGTTCTCGTATTGGCATCCTTGGTGATATTTAGTGCCCTCTGATTATTCCGCACATTTGATGGTGCTACATAGCCTTCCCGGTTTGGTGCCTTCTTTTGATAATTACTTACTTCTTTTGACAATTCTGACATTGGCACCATAGCCTGAGTGATAACCTGCATCAGCCTTGATAGATCTGAGCCTCGCTTTATACTGACGATATTCTGATTACAATAGGACCATACAATGGGACCTCAATGTCAAGGTATTTTAACCTGTTTACGTAGTCAGGTTGGGAGCCATCATACAGTTGCATAACTGTCGTTCACCCAGGAAGGAAGCAGCTGTTCGCAAAAAAAAAAAAAAAGTCATCAATTTATAATCCCCCAATACTATGCACCTCAACTTTTCTAACGAGTCTTTCGTGAGACAGCATCGAAGACCTTTTAATAAAGTCAAAACTTATAATATCGCAATCTTGTCCACTATCAACTGTTTGAAAAATTATTTATATAAATAAGAGTAAATTTCTTGAAGACTTTGAGTGGCCTTTCAGTAGATCCATGTTTGAATTCTCTATTATCCTGTATTTCAGTATATATGCCAATGACTGGCAATACTCGATTCAAGTAATTTCCCCACAGTTGACAATAGTTCAATACAAGTGATCAATCTCCCTTAATTCAGGGATCAACCCCTTAAATGTTTCCTGACGTTGGAGAACTTTAGGAGGACGGGTGGGAAATATCACCACATTCACAAATATTATCTCCCACTTGAGCTACTAATAATACCTTTACTACACTGAACACAGGTCAGGATCCCCTTTGACACGCTGGAGGAACTAGTCAACCAGAGGAAGACACCTTGGGTCTTCTCTAGAGGCAGTGTGGTCCACAGCACCTTCGAAGTGAGTGGTGTTTACTTTGATATCATTCAAGCAATGCAACTGTAGTTTATTTATAACTTGAAACATTATAATATATATGACAATATAATAATCACTATATTCCAATAATCACAGCACACATAGGTGTGCTGGTATACACGTGTGTGTGTGTGTGTGTGTGTGTGTGTGTGTGTGTGTGTGTGTGTGTGTGTGTGTGTGTGTGTGTGTGTGTGTGTGTGTGTGTGTGTGTGTGTGTGTGTTGTCTGCGATGGAATCCATCCCCGTGGGTGGTGGTGGAGGGGCCATTGCCTAACTGTATTGCCCTGAGGGTAAAGGGCTTAACTTAAGGAACAGAGGCTCCGATATATAACCCATTATTCAACTGTAACCCTGCAGCCGTTGCCGCCCACACGATAGGTCTGGAAAAATAATAAACTAAACACAGTCCCTCTAGATCGTGTGTACTTACCTAGTTGTGCTTGCGGGGGTTGAGCTTCTGCTCTTTGGTCCCGCCTCTCAGCTGTCAGTCAACCGGTGGACAGATTACTGAGTCTGTGAGGCTCTATCATATCAACATTCTTTTACAAGAATGTAAAAACATCAATGTTATGTACTCTCATAAACCCAATGTACCTTCTTGTATATAAATATACATAAAATAAAATTCCTGTAAATCTTTCCTGTAAAATCTCTGTGGCTCGATCATAGCAGTCTCATGTGCGGTACTGTATCAAAGGCTTTTTGGCGGTCCAGAAATATGCAGTCTGCTCATCCTCCCCTGTCCTGCCTTATCCTTGTTACTTTATCATAGAATTTCAGGTTTGTAAGGCATGATTTTCCTTACCTGAACCCATGTTGGTGTCTGTTTACAAACCTAATGTTTTCTAAGTGTGCAACAAGTCTTAGCCTGATTATTCTTTCAAGTGTTTTGCAAGGGATGCTTATCATTAATACGGGTCTGTAGTTTAGTGCCTCCTACCTATCCCCCTTTCTTGAAAATTGGTGCCACATGTGCCTCCTTCCAGCAACTGGGCAACTCTCCCGTCATAAGCGACTCATTATAGATCCTTGCCAGAGGCACGCTGAGGGCGTGTGCTGACTCTTTTAGTATCCACAGTTATACTCTGTCTGGTCCAACTGCTTTAGTTGCTTCCAGTGTTGTCAGCCGTTTCATTGCCTCCTCTGCTGTCACCTCTATATCTCATCTAGGGTAATCTCTTCTAACAATGGGAGCTGCTTAGGGTCGGTTGTGAACACTCTATAGGAACTGGCATTCAGTGCCTCGAAGATTTCCTTGTCACCTTCTGTATATGCCCACTCTGTTTTCCTTAGTCTTGTCATTTGGTCGTTCCCGACATTTTCCTTCTTATATGACTATATAGTAATTTAGGTTGCTTTTTCGCTTTGATCGCAATATCGTTCTCATCTTTCCGATACTCTTCTTATATTAATGTAATCGTTGCTAGCTTTTTTTATATTTATTTATATACAAGAATGTACATTGGGATTAACAAAGAGTATAGAAATTAAGTTGAATTTACATTCTTGTAAAGCCACTAGCACGCATAGCGTTTCGGGCAATAGTGTTTAGATGCAGCTATGCTGCATCTAATCCTGTTGTCCTCTGTACTTCCTCCACTCCCTCCTGCTTCTCATTTTTGCTTCCCGACAGTTTATTAAACCATGGGTTATTATATTCCCTCCTACTTTTTTCCTTTATTGTTGGTATAAATCTCTCTTCGGCCTCCTTGCATTTCCATGACTAGGTCCATAATATCTCTGAATGTTTTCCTCTAATTACTTCCTTCTACTGCACTTCTCCCAGATAGTTCCTTATCCTCCTGTAGTCCCCTTTCCTGGACTTCTTGTCCCATGGTCACAATTTTAAGTTCCATCATGTAGTCAAAGACTAGGACACAATGGTCACTGGCTCCTAGAAGTATTTCATGTTCCAAATTCTCCGGCAGGCAGCCTACAAGGAGAGGCCAAACTCAACCATGGGTCGGCTGTGGGCAGGCAAACTAGAGCTAATCAGCACGCTCTCACCCTTAACGGAAATAGCTCTGAAGGGCATAGCAGGTGAGCGCTTAACAGATGTCCACACATCAATGATTATTTGCACTCGACCTGTAAAATGAAGATGAAATGTTGATGTTTTGATCCATTCCGTTACAGAGTTCATGGATAAATTTGCATGATTAGATCATTATCAAGTTGATGGTGGCTAAGTTAGAACGACTGGATCATTATTAAATTTTGGTAGTTAAGTTAGAATGATTGGATCGTTATTAAGTTTGGTGATTATCATGTTGGTGGTAATTAGGTTGACTGGATCATTATCTCCAGTTTGTGTCTGTTGTGTATTTCAATGTACGTTTAATTATTCGACTTATTTTGTCTATTTACTTGATACCATTATACATAATTTTTAATCTGTTGTTTTATCTTCACTGTAATACACACCCTGATATGTTCCTTAGTTCCAGCTCCTCTACGGTTCCTTAGTTCCAGCACCTCTACTGTTCCTTAGTTCCAGCTCCTCTACTGTTCCTTAGTTCCAGCTCCTCTACGGTTCCTTAGTTCCAGCACCTCTACTGTTCCTTAGTTCCAGCTCCTCTACGGTTCCTTAGTTCCAGCTCCTCTACGGTTCCTTAGTTCCAGCTCCTCTACTGTTCCTTAGTTCCAGCTCCTCTACGGTTCCTTAGTTCCAGCACCTCTACTGTTCCTTAGTTCCAGCTCCTCTACGGTTCCTTAGTTCCAGCTCCTCTACGGTTCCTTAGTTCCAGCTCCTCTACTGTTCCTTAGTTCCAGCTCCTCTACGGTTCCTTAGTTCCAGCTCCTCTACGGTTCCTTAGTTCCAGCTCCTCTACGGTTCCTTAGTTCCAGCTCCTCTACTGTTCATTAGTTCCAGCTCCTCTACTGTTCCTTAGTTCCAGCACCTCTACTGTTCCTTAGTTCCAGCACCTCTACTGTTCATTAGTTCCAGCACCTCTACTGTTCATTAGTTCCAGCTCCTCTACGGTTCCTTAGTTCCAGCTCCTCTACTGTTCCTTAGTTCCAGCTCCTCTACTGTTCATTAGTTCCAGCTCCTCTACTGTTCATTAGTTCCAGCTCCTCTACTGTTCCTTAGTTCCAGCACCTCTACTGTTCCTTAGTTCCAGCTCCTCTACTGTTCATTAGTTCCAGCTCCTCTACTGTTCCTTAGTTCCAGCACCTCTACTGTTCCTTAGTTCTAACACCTCTACTAAGAAACTATGCAACACCAGTACTGTTGCACAGTTTAACAACCATTACTGTTGCACTGCTCGAGCACCAACAGTGTCTCCCACATTCATGGTGGGACACCCGACGCACTCTAGCGACAGGTAAATTAATCCGGGAAACTGATAATTATGACTTTATGTAATGTTCCTGCATCATTTTATTTTCGCTCAAAGGCCTACCAATATATATATATATATATATATATATATATATATATATATATATATATATATATATATATATATATATATATATTGTGACGATAATCTCCTTCAAGAGATTGAGCCTGCTCTTCCCTCCATAATTACGTCTTCACAATTATATAAAAAGACTATGGAAGAAATGTCCAACAACGACAACAACACCAGCAAGGCTTGCCAGGGTGAGCAAAAACGTATGCAGCCAGCCACCTGTTCGGACCCAAATCACCAAACTACATGTTGATCGCTGCCGGCTGCGCTGATTGGTCGCCGGTCTGGCTGCACCTGCACTCGCCCCCCATACTACCTGATGTCTGGGGTCGCCCCAACATCAGTCCTCAGAATGTTCAGTGCTTTCGTAGCCAGCACTCCTCCCAGCTAGACGTTAGCGTGTACTGAGAGAGGTGGTGGCTTTAAGCCAATATTCCAGCACCTCCCACTTACTGTTGTATTGCACTTCTTGTTATTTTGCCTTAACGTAACTTTTCATTGTGTCATTTAAGTATTCTTATTATTTTGATTCATTGATTTTATTATAAGAATTTGTTTGTGCATTATTTTCATGTTTTGATTTATTTAACGTAATTAAAATTTCATTGTTAAAGTTTACTTGTGTTTTGTGTGTCTTCTCCTTACCTTACCACAGACGAAGTTCCAGTTTTTTCTATTTTTTTTTATAACTATGTGACGAGGCCATACCCCTAGCCTTAAACAGCCGAACACCACCGCGTGAGCGTCACAATATATATATATATATATATATATATATATATATATATATATATATATATATATATAACTAATACTTTGTAACCTCACATCCAAAGGTATTTACGTTCGCCACTCCACCGTCCATAGGATGTCCCTCGACTTCTCACAGGTGAGTGTTCAAGCCAGGTAATAGATCCGGCCAAGCCAGGTAATAGATCCGGGCCAAGCCAGGTGTTCAGATGGGTGTTGTATTTCTTGTATAACTGAGTGTTGTGTTGTGCTGTGAGATATATAAGTGGTTGTTAAGTGGTGTTGTATGATGTATAGGTGGGTGTTGTATGGTGTATAGGTGGGTGTTGTATGGTGTATTGGTGGGTGTTGTATGGTGTATAGGTGGGTGTTGTATGGTGTATAGGTGGGTGGTGTATAGGTGGGTGTTGTGGTGTGAGGTGTATGGTGGATACTGTTGTTTTGCATATGGCAGGGTGTTGTGTGGTGTACACATGGAGGTTGTGTGGTGGTGTACTGTTGTATGTTCTGTTGTGTACAGGATTGTGTAATTGCCTAAGTGTAGTTACAGGATGAGAGCTACGCTCGTGGTGTCCCGTCTTCCCAGCACTCTTTGTCATATAACGCTTTGAAACTAATGAAGGTCTTGGCCTCCACCACCTTCTCACCTAACTTGTTCCAACCGTCTACCACTCTGTTTACAAAAGTGAATTTTCATATATTTCTCCGGCAGCTTTGTTTCGTTAGTTTAAATCTATGACCTCTTGTTCTTGAAGTTCCGGGTCTCAAGAATTCTCCCCTATAAATTTTATCGATTCCTGTTACTATTTTGTATGTAGTGATCATATCGCCTCTTTCTCTTCTGTCTTCTAATTTTTGCATATTTAATGCCTCTAACCTCTCCTCATAGCTCTTGTCCTTCAGTTCTGGGAGCCAGTTAGTGGAACGTCTTTGCACCTTTTCCAGTTTGTTGATGTGCTTCTTACGATATGGGCACCACACAACCGCTGCATATTCTAGCTTTGATCTAACAAAAGTCGTGAAGTGTGGTTTACAGGTCGGTATTGTGCAGGGTATAGGTCAATGTTGTGTTATGTGTTGGTGTGTGGTGGAGATGTGGTGTGTGTAGTTCTGGGGATGTGGGTTTTTCTGGGCAGTTCTGGAGGCTTCGGTAGTTTTGAGTGTTTGGGTGGTCATGGGTGTGGGAGTTATTGTGAGGTTTTTATGGGTGGGTACAGGAACAGGTGACTTCTGACTCCTGTTAGCAGGCTTAGAGCTTTCCCTCTCCCATAGCTCATGGTAACCTTTACCACTGGAAATTTATCTACCAATTGGTTAACAACCTGGTACCCAATTACCACTTGGAAAACATAGGTGAACAGTTATGGACAAGTGCCCAGTCAATTATCCCTGGCAAGGACTTAAACCCAGACCAAATAGCTCATGAGGTGCAGGGCGAGTGTGTTACCACTATGCCACCAAGGACTGTACTGAGGGCTCGCACCACAAATTGTGCTGGCAATTAAAGTACAGTATAGTACAACTAGTCCCAGTATAGTACAACTAGTCCAAACAGAACAGTTGATTCACTAAGGCCACACTGAACCTCCTGTTTTACCACAATCCCCCGGGGGAAAAAAAAAGTTGCCCTCCAGGAACTGCAGGTCGCAGTAGACTTAATTCCCAGATGATTATAAACTGGAAATATACTGCTCTCCATCCACAGAAAACACATGTGGTGGAAAGCCAAAAAGACAGATTTCTTTAACATTCTGAAACAGGCCTTCTGTTAGATGTGTAACTGCAAGCAGAACTATGCAATTTAGAAAGGGTGAAAGGTTTCATTTCCACATACAGATAAGACAGCCATAAGAGTATATCAGCACTTCCATTATTTTAAGATTACTGTACATACATCATTTACTTCATTATTTATTTTCAGACTGGAAGGTGTCGTTTAGCAGTTACACGCAGTCGATTTATGCCTGTGGTATATAGCATTACATACCCAAAGAAATCCACACTGAAGCCTCTCATTGACAACATGTGAGTTCACAATATAAGCCAAGCAAGCCTGAGTTTTACTTTATTAAAATTAAATCGCAAATCTTTCTAATACATCAAACATTATTTGAAAACTTATTATTATTTATTAAATAACAGCCTTGCTTTTTCCCCCAAGACTAACTTCACTCGTGGAATTTGGCATTGTAGACAAGTTTATGCACATAGGGCATGAAAATGCAACCCAATGTCTAATAACCTCAGCAACGGAACAAAGGAATAGTCTCCGTGAATTGGCTATTGGAGACTTTCTTGGCATCTTCTCTTTATATGCCACTGGTAAGTCATAAATACAAAAGTAAGTATCCACTTAAGAATGAATCATAATGCTGTATAATATGTATAAAGCAACAGGAGTACTATATCAAAATACAGAAGGAAAAACACTCGTATAGTATTTTATTGCAGTCCCCATGGCGTAATGGTAAGACACTCGCCCAGCGCCTCACGAGTGCATTGGCCTGGGTTCGTATCCTGGCCGGGGTGGATTGACCGGGCACCAATCCTTAATTGTAGCCTCTGTTTAACCCAGCAGTGAATGGGTCCCTGGTTGCTGAACGATTTGGAGGGTTGTATTCTGGGGAAAATTAGGATTAAGGACCTGCCCAAAATGCTGTACGTGCAAGTGGCTTTACAAGAATGTAAGAACTTTTGTACTGTATATATAAATAAATAAAACAAAAGTATTTTGAACTTTTTTATTATGCTTTACCATTATTGGGGACAGGAAGACTATTAGGTTTATTGATGTCTTCCTAGGTCAATGACCTCCCTTCCTCAGGATGTAAAGTACTGTACTGTAAGTAATATCTAGGGATGTTTGACTCAGAGGAATAGGGGGAAAGCAAAAATTTCCAAACATGAAAGTCAAGACAGTCTATGAAGGAGCACTTCATAATGAGATAATACAGCTCAGACAATAAGGTGTATCTTTGTTTCATTAAGAGACCATGAGTTAATCATGGGGCCAATATGTAACCTAGCCAGACACACTTCCCACTTCCTGTTTCAGTGACAGGAGATAGGTCACAATAGTAATTTTTCATTCTAAATAGCTAACTATCTGCCTTGCTAGTAAATGCAGGATAGCTTTACGACAGTAAATATCTTAGTAAGAAACGGCCACTTAGCAGCACCAGCATCTGTGAGGTCATTAGAAGCAACACCAATATGATTAGGAACTTAGCAAAATTTGACTGTCTTATAATTGGCTAATGACAAGATATAACAAGTGATAGTCCAGAAAATGAGGTCAGTAGGAATACCAGGTAAAGTAGGGCGATGGATATTCAATTTTCTCTCAAACCAAATACAAGGAGTAACGGTCAATAAAATAAAATAACGTTCAAGCACAGTTAAAAGCTCAGTACCTCAGGACACAGTCCTTGCACCACTGCTTTTCCTTATTCTTATATCAGATATAGACAAAAATACAAGTCACATCTACAAGTCATCTTTTGCAGATGACACAAAAATCAGCATGAAAATTACTTCTTCGGAAGACATTGAAAACCAAAAGCTTATATTAATAAAGTTTTTGATTGGGCAGCAGAAAATAACACAATGTTTAACAGTGATAAATTCCAGATACAGTACTTAGGTATGTTAAAAATGAAGACCTTGAATAAAACATAATCAAATCTGCCCATAGTAGGAAGGCAACATGTAAAGGATCTGGGAATAATGATGTCTGATAACTTAATTTCTAGAGAGTATAACCAAGCAAATATAGCATCAGCTAGAAAAATGATAGGATGGATTACAAGATCCTTCAAATCCAGGGATCCCATCACAATGCTCATACAGTACTATTCAAATCACTGGTGCTATCCCACCTTTAGTACTGGTCAATACTCACTTTCCCCTTCAGCAGGAGAGATTACTGAAACAGGAAATACAGAGAACATACGGTACATATACACATAATAAAGCACCAAAATTATTGGGATCATCTTAAAGTTCTCAAAATGTACTGTATTCTCTAGAAAGGAGACGAGAGAGGTACAAAATAATGCAGTACTATATATACAATATGTACATGGAAAATATTGGAGGGCCAGGTCCCAAATTTACATAGTAAAATAACATACTGGAGTGATCAATATGGATGGAAATGCAGAATAGAGCCAATGAAGAATAGAGATGCCATAGGCACAATCAGAGAACACTGAATGAGCATGAGAGGGTCACAGTTGTTAAATATCCTCCCAGTGAGTATAAGAATTATTGTCGGAACAAAAGTGGAAGACTTTCAGAAAAACTGGACACTTTTCTGCAAAATGTGCCAGACCAACTGGGCTGTAGTGGATATGCATGTGGGCCTATGAGCTGTTCTAAGCAACAGCATATTGGACCAAGCTCCCACAAGTCAAGCATGGCCCAAGGATTGGCTTAGGAAGTAGAATTCCCAAAACTTCATCAAGGTGCATTCATGGTACAACCAATGTTGTATTTCTATCACCTCAGGATGAGTAGCCAATGGAATCTAACTTTAATTGCACTTTCCCAGAATGCAACCCAGAATAGCTGTTTAACAAAGTTACCTGGTGCAAAAAATGTGTCTAAAGGTCTTGGCTTGCTTAAGAATTAAACCAAGGATCTATCAGTTGAGAGCTGACTTTACTGACCATGGTGCTACAGTGATTAACATTGGGCAAGGATTTTTTTTTAATCTCTTATTCAGCATTTTCCAATTGGTTAAATTATTTACTTGTTTACTGTGTAACTATTTTTTCTTGTGTATGTGGATTTAACTTCATTTTACAAAAAGAGGTGTAAAATTTAGAGCATTAATGAGCAAGAATATATTATTTGGTCAGCACATCACCTAATATGAAAGTACATTTACTGTACATACAGTAATTAATTGGTCGAAAGTACTAATATGTAATGATGGACCACCAGAAACTTGATTTTTGTTTTGTGCTCAAAAATGATAACTGAGGTGTCTCACTTGAAACCCGAGCCCATCCCATTTCTGAACTATGAATGGATGTGGCACATGCCATAAGCTGTGTGACAGATCCATGAAAATAAGTCAAGACTAACCCCAAACTACCTAGCAAACCTGGAACATGGTTGTACTCTGGAATAGTAGACAAGGTGTGTGCTTATGGAACTCAGAAAAATTAAGGACAAAATGGAGGGGTCCTCCAGAACAGGACACCATTCGGAGGGAGTGTGTCATCACAATCACGAATGGCAAAGTGTTCAAGTCACTTATGTGAATCACCAGTGTACAGTATTAGTACCCCTACCTTCTCAAGGATTTTGAGACAATCAAGATGTGAAGCATTATTATATACATATATCTATAATTATACAATACAAATCAAAACCTTTGTTATTAATATTTACCTTTGAAAGTAAAATTTCCTATTTTCTTTACCAGGAATGTGCATAGGAACTGGGATGTTCTTCTTGGAACTTGTTTACTACCACACCACCAGGACCACAGGTTGATCAACACAAAGGATGAACGAATACCGTTTAGACATCAATACATTCAAAATAGAACTACAGTACTGGTACTGGATATCTGTCACCAAAAGCATTAGAACAATGCAGCAAAATATACAAAGCAAGCCTCACTGTTTTCATTGCACCTATACTGTATATGACTAGATTATTGTACTATAATTCAAAATATTTTTGCTGTGTTTACAAACATTTTTGTTGCATATATTGATATATCACAGTTTTCAAGTCCCATTACAATATGGATGCATTTATGATAATCTCATTGAACCTTGTTAATAACAAACAAAAAAAAATATTATACAGTATATCTAATTACTGTATAGGTTTGTAGGGCAGTAAAATCAAACTGACCAGTTTAGTAACTTGATTTCATTATTCAAGTCCATCTGTGTGCTTCACAGTAATGACGGTAATCTTGCACAAATGCAGTGTCTATGACTGAATTCATAAATTTCAAATGTAGAGTACATTAATTGTACATTTTTCTTCTGTTAAGACTGTGATCATGTTATTTGTGTACTTCAGTCACGCATAGTAAAGATAATCATCCTCAGACAATTTATCAAAAACCCTTGTTTTAAAACAAATTTAAGTTTGTTAAACTTGAATAAAACTTGAACATAATCAACATGGGCTATGGTGCACTGAACAGCCATTGACGAGAATGGTCAACTGGATTACTAACAAGACTATGTTGCCGCCTCACAAATAAAATTATACACTTTTACTTTTTAGAAACTGAAGATTTTCAAATTTGATTGATTAGATTGTTAATTTTAGTTATTAGCATATATTCTGTAATACTGTAATAGCAGATTTATGTGCCAACTCAGCTTCTTCATTCTCAGTCTGAATTAATATTAAAAATAAATTTACATATCTGTTATATCATTCTTAAAACACTGAACCAAATATGCTGTTATTAAATCTGGAATACTTTTTTGTAAATATAGTATGCAGATAAATTGAAAGCCTTCTCAAGCACTTTACTCAGAATTTCAAAACTAAAAATGAGTAAGTATTGAGAGTTACCAGCAAGCTGTACAATGGCACCTCGCTCTAACAGACTACTGTATTCCATTATAGCCCCCAATTCCAATCCACTGAAAGTTTTGGCATTTTCTTGAGGGGTTAAATGGTGGCTCTCTAAAGCTAGCTCACTAAAGATAGCTTTCCCATCTACATCAGCCATAGGAGTCCTGTATGCCCTACTGGGGACCAGAGTCAGAACTTGGCTCCTTCAGAGGTACATGGAACAGAGGACTGCTAAAAATCACTCTTCATCAGAAAGGCAGTTCAGACAACTGCAAGGTTCAAAGAAAACAAAGCACTGAAACAGTTAAACAATTCAGCAAATGATTCAGCCAGAAATTAGGACGAACCCCTCTAGATACAACTGGCTACCAATGGGTGGCAGCACCACCGGGACCTCATGACTTCCCCGCCATCTGAGCCTCAGTTCTATTGCTGATGTTCTTGAATTTGGACCTCCCGAGTTGCTGGCTATAGTGTGTCACACTTCGTTTCAAGTGTAGGCTATCCTTTGAAAATTGCCACATGGGATGGCCATTCTTGTATGTTCTCAACTTTGGTATTTGCTTCATGAGTGTGTTTCCAAGCTTCACTTGTTGTGTGAACTTGGTATATTCTTCACCTCAAGCTGCATGTGTTTACAGCAGCCCTTCTTTAAAAACTAATTTTGACATTGCCCCTACTCTGACAGTGACTTCTCCAGTGAGTTTGGGATTTCCCCCCCCCCCCCAAGGGACTGTACTGTACTGTGATGTAAAGTGTCTCACCCTGATAATGCACGAGTCTTAACTCCTCTGTGAGGCTCCTGTGATTGGGGTGTTCAAGTTTTCTGGAAGGAACCCTTTTGTGGTTCTCTGAAGCAATCTTGTTTGCACCCCCACCTGCTCTTTGTGAGCTCTTGCTTAACCAGCTTCCTCTTCAATTTTTTGGGGGTTCAGTTTCATAGCACCATTATTCCCTGTTGCTCGATGTGTTCATGGACACCTTGGCTCTAGGTTGGGGCTACGTAACCAGCACTCGCCTGGCATCCCAGAATCAGTAGTCAGGCCTGTTCTTTTGGGCGCATAGTACAGTGCATAAGTTTGTAGCTGTAT